AATATGGAAAGTATTCAATGATTTTGAGAGAATATTAGCGTGCGCCTATATTATGGGTGGTTTTAAGAAAAATAGGAGATTGCCACCTGAGGCCACCACCTAAGGCTACCTCATTATAGGAATGGCCCTGCAAAGAACCTCTTAACCGTTCACTAACAGTACAATGTACAAGGGGCTCCTAAAAAAGAAAACTCTTGCTTAAAGTGAACACAGGCTGCCTTCCCCAAAGTGACCTCTGGTCACATGGCAGGATGAAAATGGGGGCTACTGCCGATAACAATGTAGATGATTATGGGGTGAACCTCCTGTCCCTTATTATGTCATTGAACTACTTAGGGAAATTGTTCACCTCACAACGGCCGTACGGCCGCGTATTCCCATAGAGAAGGACAGGGGCTGCATACTAATCACACGCAGCACCTGTCCTTCCCGGGGGCTGCCCGATACGGCCGTGCAGGCAGCATGGAGCTGTATGTGCCGGCCTTTTCTCGAAACTTCTTAAAAACTGCTTTGCCAACAATTCATCCTCCTAATCTCTGAATTCAGTAATATCAAAATGGCTCATTACAACACTAAAAAATGTGTCATGCTCTATGTGCACTGAAAACAAATGAACAATTGTGTTTGTATCTGTATTTGTGTCTACCTGCCCATGGCACAGGCAGGAACAAGACATTATGAGTTGTCATACAAAACAAGACTAAAGAAACTTGCCAAGTATCACCAATTAATATAATGTTGTATGCCAGTGGAGAAACACAAGTCCCAATGGGCATCTAAACTACAACTACACACCCCAGACTGGTGTGCTCACAGCAGATGTTGCTACCATACTGGTAACACACATGAATATTTACACTAGACGTGGTTTTATGTGTTGCTTACCTTCTTTACTTCTATGACTTCATGAATGAGGTCAACATTTGGCAGCTTTGGCAAAGATACTCCAATGCTCAGGTCAGCTGTAAAAATGACACAACTCAGTCCATCATTAAAAAATACAACAAGCTAAGGGCACTATGAAGCAAATGAGACAATAACACATTCCCTGGACCCTTAATCAAGAAAGGTAAATGTTACAGACTTCAGATTCAGAAGAATTTTTCTTAGGAAGCTATATGGATAAGTGACAAAACACCGTCAAAATTTTAAGACAAGTTCCGTTCAATGTGAGTAACTACTTCTAGTTATACCATGACTAGGATACATGAGACCCTTCAGAGACATGTCTGTAATGTACTTTTTTTATTTACTGATGAAGGAAGGGGGTTGAGACAGGACCTTTTTGTTATAATTCTACCTATCCTTTAGTATTTATATATGGTCCTTTGAGTTATAGGCTATAAACAGAAATGGATAGGTGCTGTCTTAAAAGCAGAGAAAAGGAATATTGGAGCATTTCTTCGTAACAGCCAGCAACTGTTGTATTCACTTTCACATAGAGATTTACATATATATTCATTTGCTAATATTAATCAAAAGGCAGAAGCACACTAAGTCCACACACACAAAAAAAACCATGGAGCAACCACCGCACTCATTTCAGATCCACTCATACCATTACTGGTCCACTATCATGTCATTATCACTGTCACCATTTCGGGACCGCTTTGAATCCCTTTATAAAGATGCATAATGCAACTTGCTCCTAAGATAAAACAATTTCCATCTATATTGGGTGTTCGCGCTGCTTTATGGAATGTTGGATTGTTAGGCAGCAGCATCTGTTCCCTTGCTTCAGCACCCTCTCAAAGAAGTCATGAAGGTGACGAAAAGTGTAGAGGACATTCCATAGCATTAATTATCTCTTCACCTCATTAGGACTTGCATGACCACTATCTTTATCATCCCGCTATATATGTATAAGGATGGACGTTTTAAAAACCAGATTGACCATAACCTAATATGTTTTATAATGTTTGTTATTGTTCCTAATAAAGCTTTGTTATTTCAATATGTTTTAATTTATTTGTGAAGGTCCCTCATAAACTAAAATCCCTCTGTTTGTTTCAGTGGCTTCCAGTTCTATATAGCTTAAAGTCGTCCACTGTACAATTTACTTTAATTGGGGTGTGGCTCAAGGACCTTCCCCTTTTGAACATTGTCTCATCATGGAATGTTGGATTGTTGGGCAGCAGCATCTGTTTCCTTGCTTCAGCACCCTGCTTTAAAATATATTTTCAGTCAAAGAAACTCTGTCTTCTTGGCCATTCAGAGGAAAGTGACTAGGATTCATAAGAAAAAATCCCATTCAGCGTTACTCACCTTTCCCATGCTCCCCTGTTGCTACATTCCTCCATTGTAACTGGGCGTCAGACTCCTAGCCCTGTGTAAGCTCTCATTTGGATGGTGTCAGAACTTATACAGGGTTAATGTCTGCTGCCTCTTCATCTGGTGACAGTGTTAGGGCCTGAGTACTACATCCCGGTAGGAGGTAGAATGCTCGCCCATACCCAGATATACAGAGTATTTATTGGGGATCCAGTGAAGCAATGGAGCAGTGGATGAATGCAATGAAAGAGAGTATGAATTGTTGGTAGTGAGGGATTTCAAAGAGAACTTGTCACTTTTCCTGAATAGGGGAAATGTAATGTTGATATGGCCTATGGTTCCTTAACCCCTTCATGACTGAGCTAGTTTTCAGGTTCTGTTCATAAATGACTGACACACTTTTTACATTTTTGCTGTGTGATTCTTCCACAGCAGTAATATACTTCCTTACTAAATGTACCCAGTTTTTTAGAGGACAGATAGGGCTATATAATTATATCACATATGTGTACCTAACCCCTCACTTAGTTTGAATAAAATAAAAAAATGAGGAAAAAAATCTAGAAGAAAACACTTTTTTTCACAAGTTGTGATGATTATTATTTTTTTTAGAATTGTTTTATATTAATTATAGTATACAAAATATATTTATATATAATTTTTATTTTCCTAATTTTGTTTTACACTTTATTTAATTTTTTTTACACTTTGTTTTTTTTGTTGTCAGTTTATAGCAAGCAATCACTATGACTGCGTGATAAATTAACTTTTTTTAAAACATTTTATTTGGCTATTAATAACCTTAGAGCCTCATCCTGACTTTAGTCAGATTCAGATCTCACTAAAAGCTCTTTGATCGTGCCTAGACGATCAGAACTGATACATTTCACTCAAAAGATATACCTTGTATCTTTTGAGTGAAATGTATCTAAACATCGGGCTCTCAGCTGTCAAAACAAATAGCAGAGAGGTGAGGTGAGTCACTGCTACCCCTCTGCTATTTTCAGCTGTCAAATACGGGATCGCAAATTGCAGTCCTGTATTTGCATGTAACGGCTTCATTCTTTCATTAATGAAAGGAAGAAGCTTTTACAAAAAGCTTAATTATTTAATTAATGAATGCCTCAATACTGAGGCATTCATTAATGTCTGGCAACTGCTGAAAATCAGCTGTTACCAGCATTACAAAGCCTGATATAACTTGTCACGTACAGTGTACGTGGCCAGTCATAAAGGCACAAAGTGCCGGGACGTACACTGTACGTCTCCCGTCACGAAGGGGTTAATACTAACTGATAATTGATAAGCATTTATCCTGTGGCAAACTATTATGATTTCAGTATTTTTTTCAGTTTACAACAGTCATAATGCTTAAAGCTCAATACCAGCTGGTTATTGCACATACTTTATCATCAAAGCCTTAGCCTGAGTCTTAGGCCCAATCAGTTTTAGATGTATCAGTGAATAGTTTTGTTTACCATTTAGCTGAACCAGGTAAGCCTTGTTTAGAATGTCACGCATGTATCCCATCAGCAAGGATGGCTATCAGAGAAAACAGAAAGAGACAGTGTAGATAAATCAATAAATACATGGTTATGCCAAAGATATTTTAATCTGGTTTTACTTTTGTAGAGTAGTATTCCAATTTTTAAAAACAGGAAATGCCTTCTGCTCTCTGAGTCAACCTAAAACTTACAGTATGAGTACGCATGTCTGCTCAAACTGGATTGTCTGTAATTATTTTAGCACCAGTGCCTACAGTTTTAAGGTCCAATCTACAGTCTCTATTTGGCTAAGGGTAGAGTTTAGGGAAGCTCAAAGGCATCTTGAATTATCTTGTAAATGCTTAAATAAAAAGAAAAAACATAAGCTGGGTTGTAACTGCTATCTCTAAATTTCAGAAAATAAATGCATCCTGCACCCAATGATCTAATGATCTACTTGATCTAATGAAAAACATTGTAGAGATCCACCAACCCATGCTATGCTCATAGTTGTTGAGTGTGACATTTTTCATACCCTATGTCAACTCGAAGCCTCTTTTTCGAAACTTTGACTACATTGATGGCATAGGGATGTTTGTATAAATAGATTTTTTTTACACAAAGTAAACAAATAAGACATTAGTAATCATTACATTGTGCTTTTTATGCACTTTTAAAAACCTGAAAGGTAATAAAATGACTGATAGGGAGCCCTGTCCATCATAGCTGGTGTAGAGCACATCCCTACAGCACATCCCACTGTGCACTAACAAGTGGCATGCACTGACACACTATGTGTTGGCACGTCATCTATAAATACCCAGCAATGTTGTGCATTATAAGAGTGACAACACCACGCCTGCATAGGGTGATGGTTGGGTACACTGTCACCCTCTCACAGGAAGTTGGAAGAGAAACTGTACCTGGCAGGATCAACTGGCTGAAACTAAGTGGAAGACTGCAAAATGAATTGTCAAGTGCATGGTAAAGGAATACCTAAAGGTTTTGAAAATGAAGGCATATGTCTTAATGAAGGTAAAATGGGCACATGCATGTTGTTTTATTTAATGGCATGTTAAGCATTACTCTAACAATAGCTAAATATCTTACATTGGTCTTGCACTTTCCGAAAGAACTTGAAGCCATTGAGATTTTTAGATCTCTATGAGATGAAAGAAAAAAAATAAAATCCATGAATAATTGAAGCTGGGAATCAGTGTTGGTAAAACCAGTAGACGCAATGGCTTACCCTTGCAGTCCTACTGATGTCATAATCTTCCCTTTTGATACATTCAACTTGGCGATCAAGCTAGCTCCCTGTGCAGACAAAGATAAAGTAAATGTTCAAAAGCGATGCTTAGAAATTCTTCCAAATATATGCTCGGTTTAATAGACAAGTGTGTATAAAGTGTGTATAAAGCCATTTGTTGGTTTTGGTTTAGACTGTGGAAGGCTTAGAACCCTTCAGGCTTTAGATATACTCCAATATCACAAAGTATACTTTCACTTACAGAGGCTTTTTTTGGCTTCTCTCTATGTGCAAAAGACAAAAGACATCAACGTATTCATGATCTTTAACTAAATAGTTAGCATTATATATATTT